TCAGGGTCAATGTCCAGCACTCAGGACCAGACTCCCGGAAGCCTATCCCGTATGTTCACTCCCAAGGCAGAGCTCAGGGGTCAACCAGCCAGGCTGCCGTCAGAGAGGGAGTAGCAGCTCCTTCTGGCCTGGACAGCTGCAGAGGAACTGGGTTGTGGGTTCAAAGGGGGTGGCAGTAGCCCAGGTGAGGGGCTGGGGCTAAGGAAGGGGCTGAGGAAGGGTAGGTCACTCCTGATGTCCCTGTTCTAGGCTGAAGTGATAACTTCTTTCTTCCCACTGATGCTGAAAGCTGATGTACTATAATCAGTGACCCTCCAACTAGGGACTCCAACCAATGGGCCACATCAGGACACCTAGACAATGACCTCTCAATGAATGACCAACATCAATAGCCCCCAATTATTCCTACAGCCAGTGACCCATTAATGACCCCCCCCAATTAATGACCCATGACCAATGATCCCCGCTAAGGAACCTAACCAATGACCCATACACCTACAAATAACCCACAGCATACCTAGCCTCTCACCAGGTATTCATATGTAACCAACCCATCAGTGGCCCCCTCCCCAGTTAATGACCCCCATCAGTGGCTCCAATTAGTACCCTCCCATCCAGTGACCTCCCCAACCAATGACCCCTCCACAATAAGTACTAACCAGTGACTCCCAACTAATAAGTCCCACCAGTGACTCCTAACCAGTTAGACCTCCTAACCAGTGCTCCTCTGACAATGAATACCCATGAGTGAGCTCAGCTATGGCTCCCCAACCAATGAGCTCCAAACAGTAATTCCACTAACCAATGGCACATCAGTGACTTTCCACTAATTACCCATCAGGGACTCTCAAACTAATTATCTCATTCATGACCCCCTGAAAGTTAATCCTCCAACTAGTGACTCCAACTGGTGACCCTACTAGTGCCTTCCAGTCAATGGTCCCCACTGCTGACCTCCCCAACTAGTGATCCTCAGCAATGACCTCCCCCCACCATTAACCCTAAGCTGGTGACATCAATAACACCAACAGCGGCCTCCTTCAATGACCCCCAAACATAACTGATCCTTGGCTCCAGGTGACCCCCCAACCAGTGATCTCTATCAGAGTGTCCAAATAGTGTCCCCCCAATTAGTGGCTCCTCCAATGAAAAACCCTCACCAATTACCCCAACCAGTCAACCCCAAGCAATGACATATTAATGAGCCCATCACTTATCTCAGCTAATGGCTCCCCTTAAACAGTAACCCTCATCAAGAATCCCCTAATAATAAGGTATTCATCTGGGTGTGTCCCCCTCCCTCCAGTTCCCCCAGAACTGGAGGTTGGGGGAAGATATGAGAGAGCTCACAAGACAGGACCAGCCTCCCCACCCCACAACAGTGGTCAGTCAACTGAGAGGAGTCAAAAGACAGGGACTGGAGACTTGGGACCTTGAATGAGGCACCAGCGATCAGTGGGGACCAGTCAAAGAGCAGAGGGGAGAAGTCGTAGATCCCTTACCTGATTCTCCAGGGAGCCAGGAGGTGGACTCGGGGCCAAATTTTCCTTATTCTTCTTCTTCCTGCCCTTCCCCTTACGACCTCGCCCTTTTTTCTTTCCTTTTCCCTTTCCCTTCCGCCGACGGGGGGCAGTTTCTGGCTCCCCCTGGGGCACCTGGGAAGAGGACCTCAGTCAAGTCCAGCGTCCCTGAATGGAGGCCCCATCACTCAGATCACCTGGGGTCATTCTGGCTCATGGTCCATAGGTCCTGTGTTTTAAAGCCAGGGTTCACTCAGCCCTGCGAACAGGCGTCAAGATCAACCATATGATCTGGAGCCAGAGGTCAGTTATATGACCTGAGACCGAGGTGACTCATGCCTAGGACCGCGCTCAGCCCCATGGATATAGCTCAGAATTCACTCATTCCTGAGACCTGGAGCCAGGGATGACTCAGCCTGAGACCCCAGGACAAGACCCTCACTCACCCCTGTGGCTGTAGGGTCCGGGTTGTCACAGCCAGGAAGGTGCTTCTCACAGGCCTGGAAGGCAGCCTGAGGATCTGGACTTAGCAGCAGCTCCTGAATATCTCCCTGGAGAGAGGGTGGGGGTCGGGGAAGGGGTTCACAGGCTGACTCCAGCCCCTATTCCAAGCATTAAGGTCTAGTATTTTTCCACCCAAAGCACCCTAAGTGTAAGGAAGTGTGGCTCCACCACAGCCCTAGAAATCCCTCTGCCCCCGAAAACTGAGAGGAAGAAGATTCTATCAGGGTCACACCAAACCACAACCAGAAACCACAGCCCACAACATCTGCTCCATCTGAGATACATTCATTTTTCGCTCTCTGGCACATGATGACACCTACTTTGTGCCAGGTGCTCTTCAAGGTACCGGGGATGAGGAGGGGAACAAGACAGATGAGGTCCCTGGACTGTTATGACACACATAATAGTCACCACATCAAAAACACATCTGTCACAGAGACACAACGCCATGCCTCACCGGCACATAATCACACACCATCGCAACAACCAGTGCAGCCACACATCACAACTTTATCCTCCCACCACAAGTCAAATATGCACCATCAAAAATGATCAACTTGTGGCTTTTCAGTCTCACAGTTCTACACTACAAAGGGGCACAGTGATGCCTGGAACTCCCTTCTCTCAGCTTCCTGGAGCAAGCTTGAAGCCAGATAGCTCCCTTCTCCAAACTCTTCTCCAGGTTCAGGCTGGGGGCGAAAAACCCTCCTGCCATCTGCCTCAGTTTCCCCTATCACTGAAGTGCTACCTCGAAAGTCTCCTCCCCGAGGTCCTGGGTCCCCAGCACAGTAAGTCCAGCTGGGCTGATGAATCGAGGTTTGTGGCCCAATATGGGGGCCTGAGGTTCACAGTCAACCACCAGGGTCACCATCCCACCGTCCACACTGACAGCCACACGGTGCCACCTGCAAGGGGACAGTGTCAGTGGGGATGCTTCTCACCCCACTTCTCCTGGGATCCCCCACCCTCCCTATATTCACCTGCCATCCGTGAGGTTGACCTGCTGGGGGAGGGGGCTGAAGGAGTCACCTAGGAGGTCCAGAGCCGGCCCCAGCACCAGGCCCAGCTGCCGGACACCGGCCTCATTGTAGATGGATAGAAGGGCAGACTGGTTGGCTGGCTGGCCCCGCAGAGTGATCAGCACAGAGAAGTTCTCAGGAAAGCGCCCATCTGGGTGGGCAGAGGGACAGGGGTAGCTCAGATGGTCTGAATGTGACCTATGCTCCCAGGATAACCCCTCTCGTCCTGACTCACCTTGAAAGAGCTCCCGCGTGGGGACACCGATCGTGGTGGCCTTGCCCACCCTGAATGCCCGGTCACCTCCCGAGGTCCTCTGGGGGCAGAGGCCAGGCCCTTCAGGGAACCCAGCCTGGCCCCCCCGCATGCCCAGAGACTTCAGCACATCCACAAGGTCTGCTGCGGGGAGAAGCCAGCGTGCGGGGCAATTAGAACAAGCCCAGGACTCTGTGTGAGTGACTTGGGTCTGAAGGACTCAGCCCCCGCAACTTGGTTTGTGGGTCCTGGAAAAAGGAGACCCCTAGGACTCACCCCCCCCACCACTCCACAGCTGTTCCGGCCTCATCGGCCTGTTGACTCCTGTTTTTTGTTTTGTTTTGTTTTGGGGGTTTTTTTTTTCCCCTTTGGTTTTTTTCCCCTTGATTTTTGGTGAGAAAAAAAAAAAAGCTGACCTAGTTCTGGGATGAATCAAAGCTTCCTGGCCTGAGCCCCAGAGCCAGATTGTCCCCCTCTGCACACTCCCCCGCAACAGCTCCCCTGGTCTGCCTCCTGGGCCTAAAGCCCCCTTGCCAGGGGAAACCCACTTAGAGAGGAGGGGCTCCTCGTGCCTGTTCTTCCTCCACCTCTTCCCTTGGCTCTCCTCCCTCTGACCTCCTCCCTGTGACCACCACCTCCCCTGACTTCTTCCTTCTGACTTCCTCTTTGACCGTCATCTCCCATGACCTCCTCCTTGACCATCACTCATAAACACGTCCCTTTGACTGCTGTCACTTTGGACTTCCTCCTTCTGACCACTCTTTCTCTGATCTGCCCTGACTTATTCTGGCCACCTCATCTGACCTTCCTCTGCCTGACCCTGACCTCCTCCCTCTGCCAATACCATTCTCCTCAGTCTGACCTGTGACTTCCTCATTTTATCACCCTCTCTGACAATCTCCTCTGACCACTTCTCTCTGATAACCCCTGACGTCCTCTCTTTGACCCTATCCCTCTCATCCCAGCAAAGAAAGGGACAATCAGATCCTAACCCAAGCTTGTCCTACCAGCCCCACCCCCATGCAGCCTGGCCAATGCTAAGTGGAACCACATGGTTTGGGCAAGGGTAGGCGGGGTCTTTCCTTGGGCCCAAAGCCCCTGCCTGATCTCCCCTCCCTCCCCTAGCAGACTGTCCCACTGACCCCCTGACCCAGCCTCTTGGCAGGAGCCAGTTTCTGCCAAATCTGCCATGACCTCACCCCGGGGGCGGCTCTACTGACCTCACCATTGGGAGCCAGGGTAGGGGGCCAGACTTGGGGGAGATATGGGCTTGGATGAGGGCCCCCCATCTCAGCTCCTTCTGGGTCAGACCTCTCATTCTCCAGACTCTACAGAGCCCTGTTCCAGTCTCGGCTCTCTCTTGCCTCCAATCCCCTCGGCTTTTTTTCTTCTCTTCCCCTCCCTGCCTTCTCTCTGTCCCACTTTCTGTGCCCAGCTCTGAATCAGTTTCTCTGTTTCCCTCTCTCTCTCTTATTTCCTAGCTCTCTCTCACTCTCTAGCTGTCTCTGCCTCTGCCTCTTGGTGCTTCGTTGGTTCTCACATCTGTTTCTCTCTGTGTGCCTCTATCTCTGTGCCTCTATGTAAATATCTCTGTGTGTGGATTACTCTTTCCATCTCTCTCTCTCCATCTGCACCCACCCCCCCAACCCTGCTGTCTCCACCAGCCCCATCTCTAATTGCCTGTTCTGTGGCTGGGCTGTCATTAAGAGGTATTTGGGTTACAGCCCCCTGGGGCTAAGATCTGGGCTCCCAGGCTCTGCTGACCACAAGGGTCACTCCCCGGTGGAATGATCATCCCAGCTGCCCCCTCTCCAGGCTGGGATGCAAGGGAGATCTGAGATCCCTGTTTCCCAGTGTGGCTCTCCCATGCTCTCCTTTCACCCAGACTCTAGCCTCTTTGCAGTGGGAAGGGGTCTCCCCTCAACCAACTGCTCATTCACGTTTAAAAAGTCTTTCCCAGCATCTAACCCAAACGTTTCCTGCTTCAATCTGTGTTCCTTCTGTAATGACCTTTCAGAAACTAACTGCCCTTTCTTTTCGTGGCTGGCTTTGTGACAAGGAGACACACAAGAGGCATTGAGTCCTGCCTGCAGGGCCAAGGGGTGGGGGTCTGTCAAGTACCCAATTTGCCCTTCCCCCACAGACTCTCCCCTGGGCTGATCAGGACCACAGAGAGATGTGGTGGGGTCTAGGATGTGGAGGGAGGCAGGCAGGGACCAGACTGGGACATGGCTGGGACTCCCTCAGAAGTGCAGGAGAGCTGAGGTGTGAGTATCTGTGCAAATGTGTATACGTGCTATTCTGTACGTGCATGAGATTGTGCAAGCACGTGTGTGACTCTATATGGATCAGGGACTCGCTGAGTGTGTCCTTTGTGGTGTGTTGATGTGTGCAAGGATTTGGCCTATGATGGAGAGATTAGGTGCAGTTCTTTAACTTGTCCTGGGGTCCTGGCAGTGAGCTCAAAGGTCTGCAGGTCCCTCAGGGGAGTCTGTGATTGTAATAGATCAGGCTTGAGAAGGAGGAGTGTGGATTTATGTGAGAATGTGGCCAAGTCAGTGAGTGGGTGACTGGTTGGGAATGTTGACTGTGTTGTATGGATGCCAGTGATAGCGTGTGTGAGACTTTGAAAGCGTAGGAGGGTGACAAAAACTGTGACCGTGTGGCGTGTGGCTGATAGGGTTGCCAGGGCGTAGGCACCAGGTGTTTAACATTCCTGGTGTCCCTGGGGCCTTATATTCTGAATGGATGCCTGAGGCTGCACGACTGTGTGGATGTGTGAGCGTGGGAACGGGGTGTAGGCCAATTTGGGATTATCCGCGCGAGCGGGCACCTCTCTGGACTGCAGAGAAAGTGAGAGTGTGTTGGGTGGGGCGGGGGCTTTGGAGGGGTCTGAGTTCACTTTAGGGAGGGATTACCGGGAAGGCCTGACCTGGGGTATCCCAGCCCAGGGACGCCCCCTCACCACTTGAGGGATCACGACCTTCCCGAAAGCCGGGACGCCCCCGACCCAGAACCCTGCGGGGCAGGGCGCGGCTTCCAGCCAGATGCGCACAGCTGGGCGTGCGTCAGCGCTGACTCACCCGTCCGGCGGCCCCCGGGACCCCTAGGGGGGCCCCTGAGAAATTCCTCGGGAAAAACACCCGATGCTTGCTCTGCTGGGGGGAGCAACTTCCACTCCCCCGACCCCGCTGGAGCTCCGCCCCGCCCCGCCCCGCGCCCCGCCCCGCCTCGCCCCTCACCAAGGCCCTCCCGAGGCCCTGTCCATGGTGCTGATCTCGGCTCAGGGGAGCACGGGTGGGGGGAGGGGCTGGGAGTAGTTGGGGGAGGGGGGCGCTCGCGCCAACTGGGGACAGAGGAGGAAGATGGAGAATAGGGTGAAGCCATTTGGGGAGACGCAAAGTGAGCTCTGAATCTCAGATTAACCACCTCCCCTACTAGTCCCCAGTCACCATCACCCTCAGAATCATCCTCATGGGCAATTATATACCTCTCAAATCACAACCACACCCCTCATAGGGTCATCCAGAGACATACAATCACACGCATAACATACACACAGGTATTCTCAAAATTAGCCCCCACACACAGACACACACTTGCTCAATCATGTACTTGCGCAGGGGTCATCCCAAAACCCAAAATCATACAATCATCGTTAACTTCCACACCAGGACACACACAATTCCACTCCTAATGTCCACACGGACATTGGTACACACACACACCTATAAATTGCATTTATCCCTGAGCATTGATCAGTAAAACAGGGTCACACGTTTCCTTGGCCCCCGCCAGCTGTCACACCCATAAGTCGCCCCAGCAGATCGGACACTAGCGCCCCAGCGCCACACCATAGCCATGCGCAATGTGCACGCCCCCCTTGCTCTTCCCCCATTCCAGACTCCACGCAGTCTTTTAGGATCTCGCTGGATCCTGCACTCTACTTGCTAATTCTTCCCTCCCGTCTCACCGGCCTGCGTCAGGGACAGAAGCTGCAGCGAGAACAGGAGCAGATAGAGGCCGGCCCGCGGCTGGCCCAGGCCCCGGCGACTCCGCATCCCAGCGGGGCCCACACTCAAGGCGGGGGACCAGCCGGGGAGGCTGCGGGGCGCGGAGACTCCACGGGCTCGGTGCACTTTTGCGGCAGTCGGCTCCACTCGGGATCCGCAGGAGATTGCCCGAGACCCCGCCCTGGCCTCGCCCTGTGCTCCAGGCCCGGCCAGGCGGAGCTCGGAGCTCGCTGGAGGGGGCGGGGGGGTTAGCTGACAGCTGGTGGGGGGAGTTGGGAAAGTTTGTGCAGAGCGCTGATTGGCCGACTAGGGGTGGAGCCCTGGGCTGGAAGCTGGGCCCTTGTAGCCCCACCCCACAGTGGAGGGGGAGGGTCACCCCCACCCAGCCTTAGAATTTGGAGTCCCAGCCTTACTCCAAACACTTTTCTCCAACAGGCTCCACTCAAAGGAGATCTTAGTTC